GTGTGTGTGTGTGTGTGTGTGTGTGTGTGTGTGTGTGTGTGTGTGTGTGTGTGCGCGCGTGTTGTGTCCTTTCTGTATGTTTTGGTCAGCAGAGTGTTTTTCGCTGTGAAACTCTCCCATGGATGCCATTTTTACCCAGGCTCTTTCTTGTTATGAATCGTGAACTCTGACCTTGACTGAGACAAGCGAGGCCTGTGACTCTTTAGATTTTGTTCTGGGCTCTTTTGTGACCTCCTGGATGAGTCCTCGATGGGAAATGAATTTTAGTAGGCCGGCCACTCCTGGGAAGGTTCACCACTGTTCCAGGTTTTCTCCATTTGTTGATAATGGCTCTCTCTGTGGTTCGCTGGAGTCCTAAAGCCTTAGAAATGTCTTTGTAACCTTTTCCAGACTGATAGATGTCAGTTCCAGCTGCTCCTTTAGATCATGGCATGATGAGTTGCTTTTAGGATCTTTTAGGCTTTACTTTGTTTAAGTAATTTCACTATTCAGTAAGTCTGACATTAATCAGTCCTGGGTGTGGTGAGGGAAATTGAACTCAACTTTGCATAAATGTGAGTAATCATTTAATTCATACTTTCACAAGAGGATAATTACTTTTTTACACATGGCCAGGTAGGTTCGGATTACTTTTTTCCCTTTAATAAATAAAGTCCTCATTTAAAGCTACATTTTGTATTTACTCAGATTATCTTTGCCAAATATTATAATTTGTTTGAGGATCTGAAACATTTTTAGTGTGACTAAAAGCTCTTTTTCACCTCACTGTAGGTGTAAAACTGGACACGATATAAAAAGATGAGCCTAGAGCAGAGTCAGGAGTGAATGGGCATGCAGTTTCACATCCAATTTTAAAATACTAAGACAGCGATGGTGAAAATGTTTATCTTAAGGATTCAAGGCAGTCTTCACAAGTCAGCAGTTCACATCACGATATCCACGCCATTTAAAAGGCGAGATACTCTTTTTCAGGTTGTGACTAATGCATTAATTAAGCGGCGATACAGTTTTAAGTCATTTAATAAACACAGAGGTGCTCTCACATGTATTGAATACTGTACATACTAGACAGCATCTTACAGTGAGGCTGCAGTGTGCTGGAGTTCTAGAGCTTCTGGGAGTTGATGTAATGCAGGTCGATACTGTTGCCTCTGCGTTCACACTAACTCTTCTATGAACACTGGAATAACTTCAACTGAAGTGAAACTAACTCGTTCACCTGGCCGTGTGTGTGTGTGTGTGTGTGTGTGTGTGTTCCACAATGAACATCTCTTGATTCTTCTGTCATCAGCAACAACAAAAAAAAAAAAGTCCTATTTCAGTTTCTTTTTCATTATCTCGTAGTCGCTTCTCCCACCTTCATCTCAACATAGCAACACAAGCTAGCTGGTGGAAACATGCTGCTGCAACATACTCTGATTCAAAACTGCTAACTACTTATACCCCATCTGTGATGTTTTACAAACACATCTTGAATAATTCAGCACATCCTCATCTGCCTAATGGGCTCTGCTTCCCTCCGGGTGCCTAGTTGCTATTTGCTTCATTCCAGCTCTTATTTCTCTCGTGTTTGTCTGTATTCTTCTTTCCAGTCTTCCCTGTTGCTGTACATTTGAAAGCTACTTTGTTCACCTTTACAGTGAACTGCACTGGGACCGGGAGTGTTTTAAATTAGGAGTGTGGGTATCTCAAACACTGCATAGTTTCTTGGGGGGGATCTAATGACAGAAAGGCTAGATATCAATACATGTGGCTGCTACATTGCTCCCTCAAGATTTTCCTAACAGTTTTTTTTTTTTGTTTGTTTAACGGTTGTTGCCGTTAAAAGCAAACATGTGACACCCTTATTTCTGTAATCTCACTTCCTAACTTGACCCACTGGTTATAGTTTTAAAACTGTCTTAAGGGCCCAGTGAGAGTTATAAATAGTGCTTCCATGTTAGTTTTTCAGGCCTAGTGTTTGTAAAATTAGGTTTCAATCCTAAAGAGGTAAATGTGGTTAACTGACAGCATACAAGGAAAATAGTTTGTCCTAATGAGGGAAAAAACCCAACATCCCAATTCAGTGAAAAAATAAAGCTGTCCTTGTAATGTGTGACATTTCCTTTTGTTTAATTTCATGACAGGATTCTGGCACAGCTTTATCAGACATACAACAGAAAGGCAGGCGTGATATCTGTTTGCTTCCAAACAGTCTCACATTGTTTTCTAAAGAAGCCGGTCAATAATAATCGCAGCCACAATCTGATTTCCACCCCACACACAACAGCAAAACAGTGTAAATAGAGGCCGTGTTCTTTAGCAGATGAAGGTGTGCACCTCGCACGATCTATTCCTTCAATTTCCCCACTATTACCAACATACAAATGTTACGATATCACAAATGTTCACATTTAATACTAAAGCTTCCTGTGGAAAAATGTTTTACATTTTTGGTGTAATTTTGCAGTCAAATAAGGAAATACTGTGCTGTACTTCTCAGCTTAAAGCCAGACGGCATTTAAAAGCACAGACACACAATTAGAAAGTAGCTTTGTAGTTGCGTTGTGTAAAGCGACCAGTGTGTGTCTTCAGGCCTTCTTATAGAACAAAATGAGTGGGTGTGCGTCAGAAGTTAGTCAGGGTGGTCTCTTCCTCTGCTGGTACCCGTGTAAAAACCCAAAACTGTTCTAGTGGTCATCAAACTGTATCTTTATTGATGTATACTGAGGTGTCAAAACCGTCATTATGGGTGCGGGGAGGTCGTTAAATGTCATCTATGTTGGTGTAAAGTGTATATGTGGTGGGGTTGTGGAGTAGCAGCTGCCCGTTGGTCTTTACTCCAGTGTAGATGAGACAAATATAATAAAATGATAAGGACTTAAATTATGCACAAGTGTGGAGAAAAAAAACATGCTTTTCCTACAGGTATCCCTGTTCATTATTACAGAGGTATAAGTACAGCTGGCAATTTAACTGTCACACTCAACTAAAACTCCAGCATCAAACAAAAAGTCGAATGTGAACTTTATGAAAAGTTTCAACATCAAACTCAGGTGTCTGTCTTTAATTAATTTAGTAATAGGAAAGCGTTCCAATTAGACGACTCCTGCTGGTTAAATTTAGCACACCAGATTTAAACATGCCACTGCTGACTTACAGTGACGCGAGCAGAGTGCTGTGTCTCACTGTTGCTGAGCAGCCTGCTGGTTTTTGGATGTTCTCAGATTTTATCTTTGTAATTTTTTTTTCTTTACAGAACGTGGGGCAGTGCAGGGACTGTTTAGGTTAATACTGTATCGACTGTGTCTGAGATAGGCTCCAGCCCCTCTGCGACCCTGAACTGGATAAGTGGTTAAGAAAATGGATGAATGTATTGATTGTTTACTCATGAGCAAACTTTTTTTTTTTTTGGTCCCAGAAGTCATGCAACATGGTCTCATACATGACGACTGAAGTGCAGCACGCAAAGACCTCCAGAATTTAGCTGCACATTAGTTAGACGGGACACTTGTGGCTGTATTTAGAGCACACGTCCAGCCACTTGATGATAATTCTGAGCGTTGTCATTGTGCGTGTCCGTTATCTGTGTATATCCGAGAACATCAGGGTTTTGAGAGAAACGGCCTTTAGAGCGATTTGATATGACAGCTTTCCCCCCTCTTGTGATTACAGCTGTTAATTCGTCTCATCTGTCAGGAGAGCTCGAGGGTGGATATTTGTCCATGCGTGCATGAATCGCTCGTGCACCGCGATGCAAATTAACACTTCCTATTCTGCAGCGTAAGCACTTGCCCCCGTGGTGTGCAAAGTTTACATTTCTACCTGAAGAGTGAAGGAGGAGAAAGTGGAAATGAAAAACTGCTGTTTGGCAGTTTCTTCCACTTTGTTTCTGTTTCCCTGCTGTGCACTCTCGTTGCAACTTCCTATTAATTATATTGTTTTAAGTAAATAACCTGTTTACAGTTGTCAGGGATATGTGTGGGTTGGCCGAGGAGTTCATATGTGTTTTCTAATTGCCTTTAAGGGGATTCTGTTGTTAATCTTTTAAAATGTATAGCAGTGCAACAAAACTTTGAGGCTGGTGTAACATTTCAGTGACTATTTATACATTCCTGCATACTCGTTTTCTTCCTTCCTTCGCTTTTTATTTCTTCTATGAAATGAATGAAAGTGTTGCCTTCATTCATCCCACAAGCAACAACAAAAAAACTAATGGATGAACACGTGTGTCTGTCAGCCGCATGGTTGATTCTCAGTGGGAACACCATTACTAGCAGCTCTTTCGTACTGCAGGGAATAGTTTGCTGAAGAATTACAGGAGAAATTATTCCTCTTTAAGGAGAAGTAAAACACTGTGACAAGAAAAGAAAAGCGTTGGCAGATCTTCTTTTTCCATTTTGTAGTTCTTTCAAAATAAAGTGCTTTGTTTTGTCCCCTTCCAGTGCAGTGTGTTTGCTCCGCTCCTAAATTTTGATCGGTTCTGTTTGATTTAGTAGATCTGCTTAGATCAAACTAACTGACTACTAGTTGTATTGTTATTATACCCACCGAGGCATGGCATATCTCTTGCCATGCCAGTTGCAACATTGTACTGGGGGTCTTAGTGGGAAAGCTGTACATTAAAACTCATCTCATGTTTTGTTTTTCTCTCTCTTCTTCTTTGTGCAGGATCTGATGGCCAAAGTGCGAGCCATGCTTGCCACCTCCAAGACCTTCCAGCCTCCCAATTCTTAAAAAGGACGTTGCTTTCTTCTGGATGTGACAACTTTTGCCTGCAGGCGAGTGGTATTCTCCGATTTCCCGGAGATTTATCTGGCCCGCAGCTGTTTCAGAGCCCTCTGTTTATCCATGATTTATCAGTTCATCAAGAATTGAGCATCGACAGTTTCAGTTTGATTGTGTTACGTCTTGTGCCGAGTCGTAAGTGTGAAGTACGCTGAAGTGAAACCTGAGCACCTGGTTTCACGGCCGGTGTGAGAAAACCGCTCATAACACAGGAGATTAAGTCACAGCTATGTTTTTGGTGCACGGAGAATCAAATGTGAAATAATGTTTGCCTCCTGTTTTGAGATGCTTTTCTCCTACGAGTCACTCTTTGCAGCATCAGCTGCAGGAAATCTGGAAGCTCTCCTTCTATGAAGGCTTATGTTTTGATAATTTAATTTTCCCATCATTTTTCCTCATTTCCTTTTTCTCTTCAGCGCCTACTTTACTACCTGAGAAGTAATTTGTTTTTACTCTGTCCATCAGCTGCAATGTGCAGCCTTTGAATTTTGGTTCCTGGTTTGTACTGTAATGAGTAATGCAGAACAACTTTCTAATCCAAAATGAAATAAAAGTTCTTTTATGATTTACGTGTGGCCTTCAGTTGTTTTCTTTTAACAAAAAATAAATAAACCATCAGGAGAAGAAAATGGATACAATGCAGGTTGTTATAGTGCATTAGATATTGGAAAAATTGTACTTGTGGCTAAAAAAAAAAAAGATTACATAATTGGAACATGAATATTCAAATATAAAATGATTAGAAACTAATGATGCATTCTCAATCATCCAGGAAAGTAAATCTCCAAAAGTTGATTCTGTTCATCTGGACGTAGCGTTTTGTGGGAGAAACGTTTCGTCACTCAACACAGAGC